AATCCAAATTCGAAACCCTAATCCTTTCTTCAACATCCAAAGAAAAAATAAAAGAAAAACTCAGAACCATAACCTTGGCTTGAAACCCTTATTTCTAACGCCAATTGAAACCCGATTTTCAAATCATTCAAACCCTAAATTGCAACCCGAACCCCATCCTGAAACCCTGCTTTGAAAGGTGAACCAAGGTTTACACCTGTGTCTGCCGGTGTGGGATTTATCCGCCAACGGCGACGGGATGTCACGCCTGCGCTCGTGGCGCACTTCACATTCGAGTGGAGTGTTCCGTCGTGAGCACACAACGGACACGCACGGATATGCCATGACAGCTTTGGTGTGAGAATGTGACGACCTGACAAAAAAAAAACGGTACGGCGCCGAGCAGAGCTGCCGTGGCCACACAATGCGAGATTACACACAATGCCTGGAATAATCCTGATCGGGCTCAAATTGTCAACACCACGAGGAACACAACGGTATGAAACGAACCTTTGCCCAGCTAAACTACATTGAAAACCCTAACCCTGTCTTAAATTTTAAACCCAGAAAAATCTGAATGTAGGCTGGAAGCCTGACCTTGAAACTGCAACTTTAAACTCTGATCCTGTCTTGAAACCCGAATTTGAGACCCCAACCCTGGCTTGATCCCTTAATTTGAACCTCTAACACTGTCTTGCAGCCCTAATTTGAAACCCTAGCCCTTGCTGAAACCCAAATTTAAAACCTGAACTGTCTTGCAACCCTAATTTGAGACGCTAACCCTTGTTGATACCAACGTTTGAAACCGTCACGTGACCCCCCTACTTCTTTCCCTGGACCCTAATTTGAAACCCTAATCTATGTTGAAACCACAACAATGGTTTGAAAGCCCAACTCTAGTTTGAAACCCTAATTTGAAACATTAACACTTGTGGAAACTGTAACATATAGCAGAATGGGAACCTCAACTTGAAGCCCGAACACTGTCTTGAAACCCGAACTTGATGTAAAGTCGGCTTACTTCTGTACCTAGTACTTTGGAGTTATAAATAAATAAATCTGAGGGAAGCTCAAAAAAGCAGATTCCGAGTTTCAACAGGCCACATGACGCAGCGAGCGACAAAACACACTCGTGCTCGCCACAAACATACAAATGGCATCGCGTGGCTAAATTCTGACATACGAGCGCGAACAAACGTTAGCACGCAGCTGACAGAATGTTGCACTGTTTGCTTTTGTGTTGCTAAGCGTGCGAACAGTCGCTTGCCTGAATGTGAACCCTTTTCAACTATGTGTGCAATGATAGCCGTTTGAAATCTAGGATGAGCACCAAGAAAATTAGCATAGCAAAAAAAAAAAGAAAAAAAGACAATATTGGAGAAAAAACATGACATCTTTTTCAATATAAAAATATTAAATAAAAATAAAAGTTGTACACAATACTACAAGAAAAATGCTACAATATTAGACAAAAACTACAAGAAAATGTACCCCAAAAAACATTGTTGTGGAAAAAATACAGAAATATTAGGAAAAAAATTATTCAAATCTTTTTCACCAAATATTTTAAAATAATACAAATTATTAGATGAGAAAATATCAGAATACGAGACGAAAGATACACAAATATGAAATACGAATTGTATTAGTTGACGTCACCGAAAAGTTGACAAATAATGTGACAAAAACAAACAAAAAACAAACAAACAAGCAAACAAAAGTACAAAAGTACAAAAATCGTAAATGAAAATACACAAATATTTTTTTAAATAGTGGAGGGAAATATTACCACAATAGAACATTAGCCATAACATGATAAACCCTCAAAATAATTATATAAAATAAATATTAGACAAAAAAAAATATACACATATTTCATATGTAAAAATAATCAGGCCCAAAGAAAACTGTTTACTTCCTCTGCTAGGCGCTGCTGTTTTGGCTTGCAATGAGTGTGACGCTAGAGGAAATAATCCATTTTAGACTGAAAGGGACAAGGGCAATCTAAAAGCTCAGAACTCAGAAACACAACACAAATCCACATCACACTCATAATCCTTCACACTTCACCGAGCAGTCACATGACTCCTCGCCAACTCATCTTTTTTTTTCCTCCCAGTGTTGACTCAGAAAACACACAGAATCTGACGTGGAGATAAGAAAAGTCGCCACAAACGTGTGTCAAGAATGCTGGTCATATTGCTTGACTACATCCTGTGATGATCTAAGGACAAAATCACAAATGCCATTTCGTCAAAAACATAATCGACATGATCACATGAGATCCAAGACTGCAGGGACCATACCACTTTTTCTTCCGGGACAGGGGGAAGAAGTTTCATCGTGACTTCAATGGCAACAAGGAAGAACAAATCTACGTTTCTATGTCAAAATAAAATCGACATGCTGTAATTATATCAATATTAAAAGTTGCATGCATGACAAGTCTGTCTTTATAAAGATAGCACACCAATTCTTTCTCCATGGGGGAAGACGTGACACACCACGGGGACGTCACATTTTTGATTCCGGGGATGTGAGAATGCTTCCGTTGTGAGTAAAATTAAAAAAAAAAAAAAAAAAAAAAGGAAAACTAACATGGAAGGACATATTTGTGTTTATTTTTCCATCCAAAGGTTAGCTAGCAGGCTACTTCGTGGCTCATCCAATCATGTAACCGTGGCAGGACATACTATTCTTTATTCGTGTTCGAGGCCGGGGGGACAGTTTCATTGTGACTCTCACGGCATAAGAGGGGAAAAAAAGGTAACTGATAGCACTACCTATTGGTGTTCATTGGCAGGGACTTCCTGGTTCATGGAATGACGTACAACAAGGGGACAAGCCATTTTTTTAATTCTGGGGATAGGAGAAAATAAGAAAATTAATAAAGTGACATCTTTTTGTTGATTGTCAGCGAGCAGCCTGCCTCCCGCTTTGTGGAAAATTATGTAAAATTAAAAAGGCAGAGTGCTATTTTGAACCCTGGAACGGGGAAACAATTCTATCATGATGCTAAACTTAAAAAAAATAAAAAATAAAAAAAAATAAGGAAAAAAAAAAAGAAATGGATTTGTTCATTCACAAGCTACTTCCTGGTTCATGGAATGGGATGAACCATTTTGTGTGGTGACAGGAATAGTTCCGTAATTCATTGAAAAGCTATATAATTGTGTTTTGTCCATCCAACAATTAGCTAGCCAGCTACTTCATGGTTATTGGACTAATGGAATGACAGGATGAGCCATTTTGAGTTACAAGGTGGCGACCTGTGAGTGTGAAGGTGGGGCTTGGGGGGGCTCGGTTCCTTAACGTGGGCTAACAGGCTGATCCAGGCCTGAATCATAGAATGACATCAAACTATCGGTCTTAGTGTGTCAGATTCAGAGACAGGGGGCCACGGTTTCAGATGTTCGCAAGCTGGTTATTTCCTGGTTCAGAAAATGCCAAAACAACGGGACGTGCAATTTTTCTCACAAGACAAGGCTACGTTCACAATCCCCAAATTTATTATCTGTTATTCCTTGCAAAACCTCACCGTATAGCTGATCGTCACATATGAAAATATATTGTTTCGGCGCCACCTTGTGACATCCTGGAGCCAGCGAACTATGTCAAAGTGAGGGGAGGAGTTTCATTTCATCAGGCCACAGCGCTGTCTAATAGAAAAGAGTATTTTACTGCCACCTTGTGGCATCTGTAGGCACATAGTCCACCAAAGTTTAAGTCCTGCATTTATGTAAAACTACAACAGATAAAACATTTATGACTAAGCCCCGTGGAGGCTCCACCTGGACTCTCCTATTCAACCATGTTTGTTTACTGCTGCCCTTCACTGTGCACAATTACAATGACCACTTCTGGGGAGAAACGACAATTTATTTAAAAAGCGTATCATCTGTTGGTTTGCAACTCACCCACGACACAATGCGGAGTATCGTCTGAGGCTGCTGGAAGAAGGTGACCGGGTCGAAGGCTCCTCCGGCTTTCCCGGCTCCGTACGCCTGCATCCCCTCCATGGCGCCCCCGCCCCCGCCGCCTGGCTTGGTCCTTTCCTCCCCGGGCTCGCTGCTGGATCAAGCCCCGGACAAATCCCACGAACTTGTGTCCTCGCGCTTTTTTTCCTTGTTATTGTTAAAATTATTTATTACTATGATGATATGGAGTAGATTTCGCCTCCAAAAATCCCTGCGTTGGGCGAAAGGTGCGCGTGATGGACGTCTCCCTCTTCACAAATCGCGTGAACGCGCTAGCCGGTGTCACGCCCGGGACGCGGAAATCGGACACGCGCACGTCCTCACATGAAGTCACGCGCTCGCTTACGCACGTCACTGCTTATAATTGCCTCAAGGTTATAATTGTTATTATTATTATTATTATTAACAAAGAAAACGTTTTAGAATGTTTACCACATATATCAACGTATACTAAGATAACAAGGCTAAATTATTCACAATTACTCTAAATTAGCCTTTTCTTGGGAAGAGGTCAGCTATTTTTTTTTTTTTTTGCACAGGTAACGCTTGTGTCGGTAGGCTGTTTTAGCGCTCTCTGGTGGTCCCCGGTAACATCGTCCAGAGGGAGTTATCCCTATGTGTGCATAAACCGTCAGTGACTCATAGTAAACGTCATAATTGTCACATTAATGTCAAGAAGATCAAGACTAGAGAGGGCGTGTGAAAGAGTGATTTGTAGCCTTGCGGGAAAAGCGTCAGGCAAAATAACTTTTCGTTTGGACTTTAACCAATAACGACGCGCCTACGCGCTACGCAGTTCTAACGTAACCAATGAGTGTCTTCGTCAGCAGTTGCTAGGAGACATGTCGCTGAGGCGTTTGGAAGAAAATGCCATTGAAGAGAATTTAAAAAATAATAATTTGGATAACTAAACACGTTGTTAATTCCCATTTGTCATGGTGAGGTTAAGGGCAAGATGTCTGATGGTCGGTACGTTGAGTTGAACTTGCCTATCGTTATTTTAAGTGTCAGCAAAACTGAAGTTACGGTAGTTTGTGTTAGCGAAGCAGAAGCTAGCTTGCTCGCTAGCGTGCCAGTAATTTGTCTGAAGTTGGGATTTGTTGTAGTGTTTTACTCACCATTTTTACAAGTTATCTTTCAGTGTGCTCTCGCTAATGTTAGTTGCCTACTACCGCAGAGTTTACCAAGCTTTATCGAGGCGCACGTTTTAAAATTGAAACATGGCACGGCTCACCACCGGATGAAATCGATCGATCGATCGTGTGGTTTTTAATTTTCAGAGCGATTAACCAGGTAGTGAGGTGCTGTTTGTGTCGTCAGCCGTTTAGTATGATCTTTTTAATTCATTGATCCCGGTATGTCTTGGTGTGTTTGTGTATAGGAGATCCAGCAGTAGGCAAAAGTGCCCTCTCGCAGATGTTCCACAGCGATGGAACACTCTTCCAGAAGAACTACAGCATGGTGAGAACATGTCACGGGATGAAATACAAGTCAACCTTGATTTAAGAGTGACCCATTCTCAACATTTTCAACATCTGTGCTTTTGTTTGCTCGATTTTGTCGCTTTGTTGCAAGGCATTTTTTTTGGGGGGGGGGTTCCAATAGATACGTGGCATTTCAACTCATTTCAATGTTTAAAATTGATGTGCTATACAATGGTATTGATTCCTGAGCTTGGTCGTGGAACAATTCAAACTCACTGCACCACCGTACATTAAATCCATCCATCCATAATCTGAACTGTTTATACTGACGAGGGTCGCAGGCATGCTGGAGCCTATTCCATCTGTCTTCGGGCAGTAGACGGGGTACACCCTCAACTGGTTTCCAGACAATCGCAGGGCACACATCGACAAACAACCATTTGCGCTCACCATCACACCTTGGGACAAGATATCCCTCGCTAGACCCTCAGATTCTTGAGACCTTTTTTAAACCACATATGTTCCAACTCTAATCTCATTACATACTGCTCATCTCCCCAGAACCTGTTTTTTTCCGGACACTCATACTATCCAGAGGAGAAACCAGACACGACTCACATGGCACCTGCGCAATATTTCCAGGAATTTATTCACAGCACATATAGAATTCAACACTTTCAGAGATGTGACATCACACCTTGGGATCTGTGGAAGGCAATCCAGTCTGGACTAATGGCCAGAGGAAAAGAGCGGGACGACATTGGATTGAAAAATTGAAAATGGTCCACCCCAGTAGTCCGAACAAACTTAAATTTAGGCCTAACGATCTCAGGCTACTGACGATTGGTGCGCCACGCCATTAGCTGAGATGTAGCAGATTTTTCTGAAAGACTACTTGGCCACTACACTACCAAATCTTTTTCGGAACAAATGACTCTTGGACTCATGATATCCATACATGCAGATTTCAACTGGGTTGGACATACAGTCGAACCTCATTACATCGTACCCGAGGGACATAACGAATCTGTACGTTATCACGGTAGTTCGTTGTAACCATTTCCAATAAAATGGTTGCCAACTACGATGTATAATACAGTATGAATATTTGTAGATGTAAAAACATTAACAATACAGCACAAACATGCATCAGATCCCGAAGCAGACACCCTGTCCCTCAACGCTACAGTTGAAGATGACACTGAAGTCCAACCCCCTCACCCAAAACCCCAACCTTCCCCTGACGCCAGATCTTAAATCAAACCCCCGAACCCTTGCAAAGATGTTTGTCTTGCCTCTGCTTTGGAGATGTCAGAAGCAACCACTGGCTTCATCAAATCCCCTCTCCCGTCTTCTTCGCTGCTTCGCCATGAAGGCCAGCGCAGGCCAGCGGCCATTCCGCTCACGTCCTCCTTTTTGTTGAAAATGTCAGGCGGGCTGTTAGCGAGATTCGCAGTGTTATTTGCCGGCAACGGGGCCTTCATTGGCATTCTGGAGAGATGCTTTCTGCACCTCACGGTAGCTCATTAGAGCGCCGCTACAGTGTGTGTTCATGTGTTTGCACGCGCGTGTGTGTGAGACTGTGGAAAAAGCTAAAGTTGTATGTGGTAAATTACACAAGTTTTTGAAGGTCAGGCAAAGGTTGTTTGCCGCAGCTTCGAGTAATTCTTGCTCGAGTGAAAAACCACAAGTAGTTGACGCCCACCTTAATGCGTCTGAAATTGCCTGCATTCACAGTGTCAACCATTAAATATACCATCAAATCTGATCCCACAGTAAAACGATGATGTTAATTATCTATTAATCTGTCAATTATTTTGCCGATGAATCATATAAATGTTTTAATTTCCCTCCTTTACTCAAAAACGGGACATGGGGTCAAATTGACAGGATAGAAAATGCACAACAACATAAGTTAGCTATGATTTGGCTTCTGCTCTGGTCCGTAACATGTCAGAAAAAGTGAAGCCAGCGTTTTGATTTTAGTTTTCAACTCAACCAAAGAGAGTCAGTCGGCTTTCGTGGAGGGCGACTGAAATGCCGACTGAGCATTGGGACCGTTTTAAATCGAAAGAGCTATCGAAGTGATTCATCGCTCATCAAAAGTATTGATCGATTCATTTGACAGTCAATTCGCTGTCGATTAATCATTGAGTCACGTCATTTTGGGTTTCCGAAGACTCTCTTATGATGTTTTCCACCAACAAGCGCACAGACACACAGAGGGAGTGTTTACTTAGCGTCTTAATTATGAGGGTGGTTGTGTTTGTTTGTTTGACAGACGACCGGAGTGGAGCTGCTTATCAAAAGTGTCAACATCCCCGAGAGCGGCGACAGCGTGGTGAGCCCGCTCATTGTCTCGCTAATAAACACCTGCTGCCACATCGATGGGACAAAGCCACGTACTCAGCTGGCTAGTCGCCACGAACTGCTGCCGTTGTCTTCGGAAGCCTTTTACAAATCCACATTATCACTCGTTGACAAACAGATACTCGTATAGAAAGCCGAACGAGCTTTGCTGAGGATTTCAAACAAGGGGCCTCAAGTGAGGGGATTAAAAAAAAAAAATGTTGCCGGTATTGCAGTTTTTAAATGTTACATTAAAGGTTTACAGCTCGTGGTAAGGTTTCACAATTGGGGTTTAGGGTTTAGGCCAGGGTTAGGGCGGGTTGCAACAACAAGGTTTTCATTGTGTTTTAAAGTTAAACCTGACTGGTGCAATCCAGCCTGAGTGTTTTAAAGTAAGGTTTCCAAACAGGCTCTCCGGTTAGGGTCTCAGGACAAGGGTAGAATTTTCAAATTTGAGTTTTAAGACAGGGTTGTTGTTTCAAGTAAGGATTGGTGTGTTTAAGTAGGGTTTCAAGATAGCGTTAGGGTGGCAACTTCGGGTTTCAAATGAGACTTTCAAGCCAGAGTTAGGCTTGTAAATTACGGGTTCAAGCCAGAACTAGGTCTTCAAATGTACATTGCAATCAGGGTTTCAAGACAGGTTTGTGGTTTTAAATTAGGATTAGTGTTTTAAAGTAAGATTTCAAGACAGCGTTAGGGTGTCAAATTGTGGTTTCAAATTATGCTTTGTAGCCGGGGTTCGGCTTTTAAATGAGGGTTTCAAGTCACATTTTGGGTTTCAAATGAGGGTTTCACAACAGAACTGGTGTTCCACGCCACACTTAGTGTAAAAGTAGGCTCTCGACACTATATTAGGGTTCCAAATTTAGGTTGGGGTTTTAGGGTTAGCGCTTTGAAGTATGGCTTCAAGATAAGGTAAGAGTGTCAAGTGAGGTTTCAAACCAGGGTTAGGCCTCCAGAATCAGGGTTTGAAAGCAGAATTCGGGGTTTTAGTTCATGATTTCAAATGACTGTTTTCAGCCATGAACGGGACTTCTAAATAGGGTTTGAAAATAAACTCTCTCGAGTTCAAAAATGCTGCAACGTGAACCAAACATTGTTTGACTTAAAGGAGCTTTACATCATCGACTCTGCGGGGAAGGAATCCTTGGTGGAAGCCAACGAGAAAATGGTGAGACACCAACGCAGACTGCAGCCGAATGTGATTTGAGGTCTTTCCATGACGATAATGCGATTGTCCGTCCTCTGTGTGCAGTGGGGGGTGCCGTCTCTGCTGTGCCTGGTGTTTGACCTGGCCAGTGAGCGCTCCTTCGGCAGCTGCGCTCGATGGATGGAGAGGGTCCGCACTCACTGCAAGGGTCTTCAGGTTCCCGGTAATGTCGGCCGACCTTGGCCAACGGGCGACCCCGGTTGCTGTGAACAGTATAGCGATGACATCCGTTGTTGTACACTTGCGGCCCGCCACGCACCGAGTGATGCAGCCGTATGCGGATGAACTCTCGCGCAGCGTGCGGGGTTCAGCAACTACTTTTCACAAGTGTAGTACAGTGTCATCCGCATCGAGCAGGCAGTTAACACGACGACAACAGTCAGGAAGGTTGTTTTTGGACATACGTTGTGAACAATAAGAGACCTAAAATGGAGCCTTGATGCACTCCTGGGTTATTTGAACGCGGAACGTCTCTCATCTTAACACTCTGTTCTCTACCTTGCGAGTAGGTCTTAAACCACATCAGAGCTGCAGGTGACATTTTAAACGGCTGCATTTTTTTCATAATGATGCAATGGTCCCACTCATTACCTTTCGCCGAGTTTCAAGTCAAGGTAACAATGCTTTGAAGTAGCATGACGTGTGTGTTTTTGTCAGGGGTTCTGGTGGGCAACAAATGTGACCTGTCGGCCAGGAGGGAGGTGCCAACGTCCGTGGCCCAGGAGTGGGCCCAAAGCCAGGGGCTGGAGTACCACGAAACCTCTGCCGTGAGTGCACACAAACCCTCAAATCCGCATCATTAGGTTCACCAATACCATTTACTCCCAAGTCAAAACATTTTCCAAATAGTTCCTCCATTCACAAGGAGACCATTTTGCATTGGAGTCGATCAGAATGTAGAGCTGTTCCTAATGTTGTGGCAGCATTGGTTGACATGGTTGTCATGTGTGTTGCAGAAGGAGATGGAGAAATGTGACGCCCCTCTCCTCAGCTTAGCCCGGGCCTTTCACGCTCTCTACCAGGAACGCAGAGAGGCCATACAGAACCTGAGTCCAGGCTAGACACACACACACACACACACACACACACACACACACACACACACACACACACACACACACACACACACACACACACAAAGTATTTTGATACGCGTGCTAATTTAAAAAAAAAAAATCAATCCCGTTTTTTTTTCACTGTGTGTTAGGATTTCAAATTATGGTTTGAAGTTAGGGTTTGGCTTTGAGATTAGGGTTTGAAAGCTGACATTTGCATGTTTTAAAACAAGTACAGTACATTCAACTAAAGCAGGGTTTCAAGAAATGCTTATCTAATGGGGGAAAAAAAGAGATGTGTTTCAAAGTCTGCTGCTTCTAGTTTTCTTCAATGTAGTCTGATTTGTTATTTATTTGTTGTTTTACTGTTGTATATGTTAGTGTTTGTGTTTGTTTGTGTTCCCGAGCTACATGCAAAAAAACCCAAAAGTTGAGTGCATATGAATGGCACATCTGGTAACTAACCCCTTCTACCTTCCACCTTAGAAAAACAAAAGAGGCTCAATTTAAAAAAAAAAAAACCACTTGTGGTATTTTTGCTGTTCTTAAAAATAAAGTGTTTCAAGTGACACAGTCTGCTTTGCGTTCTCACAGGACTGACACTCTTATTTTTATTTCTTTATTTTTTAAAATTTCAATTTCCATCTTAAAATGCAAAGACCGAATGATGCGTGGGTTGACAATACAGCTTGATGATGACATTCGGGAGCCTCCGCTCCAGTGGTGGGCAGTGTGGAGCTTTTTGAGTCATCCTCTCTGGGCTGTAGCTTACCCAACCCCCAACCCCCCCTGCTCGGATCACAGCAGCACTGCAGGGAGACATGCCGGCGCTGTGATCATTACATCGGGGGTGGGGGGAGCGAGCGAGCCGAGGGCAAGACGGGAGGCGTACGATGCAATGCAGCAGGCCGCACGGAGGAAGACCGCACTGACATTTATTCCGCAGCTGAGGGCGCCTGCCGCTTAGAGGCGGGGAGTCGCAGAGGGCGCTAAAAAGAGATTAGCTTGAAACCTCCCGTTCCCACCACACAAACCGCAGTGCGATGCTTTCTGTGGTCAAAACAGAAATGAACCTGGGACTTTTTGGACAAGCACAGTCTGTGGGGTCTCCCTTCCACCATGAAAGCCTAAATTACCCCCGAAGGTGTTACAAATGTGAGGTCTTAAATTTGCCCCAAGTGCTCTTAAAAAGGAACTTTCAAGTCTTGATTGTGAATTCTTCATGTGTGGTTCGGTTCCGTTTGGGATGGGATGTTATGGCACACTCCAAGTAAGCGTTTGCCAGCGTTTTCAACCCATATTGTCTCGGTTTGTCCAGTGCCTTGCACGACAGAATTGTATGGTGGAAAGTCTGAAATAAAATTACGGCCTAAATTGTTGAGTGATTTTCAAAAAGGTCTTGTCACAACTGGACTTTCCTAATCCTCGAGATGCATGCTTTGGGTGGCCTAATTCTGCGCTGTCCAAACTTTTTCGTTTGATGGCCGGCTACAGAAAAATGGAAGGATGAAAGGGCCGCCTTAAAATTCGTCAACACGCTAATGTCAGTCAAGAAAGCAATGACATCTTGTTTGCACGTCGAATTAATTTCATCCGCTGTCTGTTAAAAGGTGTTGAGGCAAACAGTTGAGGATTTTTTTTAGCGGGGGAGGGGTAGTCAACAGCTTTGCACTGAACAGCAGCCGAATCCCATCTCCATATTCAGTACCAAAAAAAAAGACACTCTAGTTAGGTGACCATTTTTCAAACAGTTACTTGAAGATCATTCATATGTGATGACTTCAAAAATCAGCCATGGAGCACAAAGTGGAAGAAATTACAGTATTTTTGCCCTCAAAACCGAATGACCTTTATTTACTACCGTGTTTTGAAGATAAAGTGTGTTATTTCTTTATTTATTTTATTTATTTATTTTTTTGTCATAAATGGTTTATTTGTATCTTCGTTAAAGAGTACACCCACGCCACCTTTGCCTTTTTTTAAACTCACCTTGTGGCCCATGTCAAAGGTCATTGTTAGTGTTTCCTTATTTATTTTTGGCCATGTCGCGGGCCGCTGAAAAATGGCTGGCGGGCCGCAGATGGCCCCCGGGCCGGAGTTGTTTTAGTCTTCTCTTCTCATTTGACTCCCTTGTCTTGTTGATGTTTTTTAAGACCACGCAGAGACACATTGTGTTGCCTACAGGGGGTTCAGTGTTTATTCATCGTCAGGACTTGATGCATCCAAGTTCAGAATCATTCAGTTTTGGCACCTTGAAAGACATTACGCTTGTTCAGTTTTGTTTTGTTTTCTGTTTCTTTTAAATCGTCATTTACAACAATACAATGCAAGAATCAAAGGACAAGAAAACCCCAAAAATGAGACAAAATAAGACTAATCATATTCATAATCATCATAAGGCTGTGTGAGATGGAAAATAAGAAAGGATGGCATGAAAAGCTCTTCAAAAACTTGCTCTCTTTGTCCGAAGCATCGGGGTGAAGCCTCCGGCCTCTAAAAGTCCCTCCCAAACAAACTAAAAAAATAAAACGGAAAATAACGACACAGTACTGTCACATTAAGTTCTACCGGTACTTTGTCTCGCCTGCTGCCTTTTACTTGACATCTTTGTTCAAAAACAAGATGTTTCTGAAACGCAGATTGGATGATTTGGAGTTGCATGCATGTAAAATCTTTTTTTTTATTCTTTTTTTCTTTTTCTTATATTTATTTTTTTTTTGTTTTGTTAAAGTGTTTTTAGGGACTCCATGTTGTCTGTCGCATTGTCCACAGTCGTCTTCATTCATCGGCTCAGAAGTTCACCCCAACCCCCGCCCCTCCGGCAGTTCATTGTCCCTGAACCAAAATGGCAGCCGGATTTTTGGCGGAAGGCCAAGAGGTCATCAAGTTATTTTATTTATTTCTTTATTAATTTTTTAGTGTAAAAAATGTGGTATCCGTAACGCACACAAAGCCTTTTTCTCGGACAAATGTCTTGTCCGAATTTGCTTCCGTTAGCATTTCTCTGAGCATCGCTACTTTATTATGTTTTTTCTCGTTGCGCCAGGAAAGTGGTCATGACGTATTAACTAGTATACTAGTATGTTGAATATATAATCATTATTACATTTTTTTTTTTTTTGCGGCCCCTGGAGTGCTCTCCGCTCAAATCGTACACCGCAGTGGTTCACAGTATTTATGCAAAGCAAGAAGAAAATCAGGAAGATATCGAAACTAAGGAGACAAACCGGAAGTTGTCAGGGGAGGTTGGGGAGCAGGGGGCAAACCCCATTTTTCACCAGACCAGACCAGAGGAAGAGTAAAAAATATAACGTGGCCTTTCGGATTGGACAGACCACGCCCAATCCCCCTTTTCCACTCGGCCCACACCCACCCCTTCAAATCTTTACAAACATCAAATTGTTAAACGAGGGTAGATGGGGGGACAAAAATCATGCATGTTTCTTTTGCTTCTGTGCATTTTCCCCCCGCTTCTGTCAAACAGAAAGCAAAGTGCCAGACCCTCCGTTAGACCTTGACATTTTCTCCCCACCTCACCCCCTCCCCGAAGTGCCCCTTTGGAAGTGTCCGAGAGTTTCACACAGGCGTGGTACGCCGATTGGCGGCATTGCTCGAGTCTTTCAGGTCTTTCTGGATGCAGTTGTGGACCTGCAGGAAGTTGTGGTCCCTCTCCGTGGAGTTATAGGTGGCCGTGGGCGTGCCCGTCTGGCCCTTGGGCAGCGTGTACATGGACAGCTCGGTGGAGGGCAGCGTCCCAAAGGCCTTGAGGCCCACCGGCGAGGCTTCGCGCGAGTGCGACGGGTCGGTGGAGTGGGACGAGGAGCGCGAGCGACGGCGGTAGCGATAGCGGTAGCTGGGGATGCGCGTGATGGCGGCGCCCTGGAGGTAGTCGGCGGCCCGCACGCCCACGCGCAGCTCCCGGTGGCGGTCGATGAACATGTGCACGGCCAGCACGCCCACCATCTCTGCCATGATGAAGGAGAGCGCGCCGAAGTAGAAGGACCAGCCGTAGGAGTAGCTGTTCTTCTTGGAGTCGCTCTTGGAAGGGTCGCCGGCGTTGGCTGATATGTACACGATGATGCCGATGATGTTGCTTAAGCCTAAGGGAGAGGAGATCAGATGAGGCCGATGGAAAAGGTTGGGCGCCACGCGGCCAAAGGCCCCCCCGTCCGTCTCCTTGATGACGTTTGATGAGCGCGGATTGAGATATCGATCTTCATATGAGCACCTTTTTAGTTTTCGAGTGACAACCTCAAGAGTCAAAGACCTTGGATGGCTCTTTACAATTAGCCGGCTTGCTACCTACGCCGCTATTTAGGTCTGAGCCTGAAACACCCACTGGAATTTAAGCGGAAATGTTTCGATCCCTGGAACCCTTCCACTTGATTTCATTAACCTTGAGAAAAACTGGACCCAAATACTGGACTGGAAAACACTGTTCCACCAAGAGGCACAATGCGATTTGGTTCATCTTACATTTTCATTGTGAAAATGTTGTAAAAGGTACCAAAATAACGCATCCATATCGACTTTTGTCATTCCTCGATTGGTGCTTAATTCATTGTATATACAGTACTAGGGGTGCCCGATACGTCGATCAATCGATAGCCCGCAAACTGTCGATTGCAGATCATATATTTTGGTGTTCGTGCACACTGCACCCTAAGCATCCTATCAGTTTCACTTTAACAAAAAAAAAAAAAAAGTATTAAAAAAATAAAATGCAAAAGCAGGTCACCTTTAACCGACGGTGGCGCATGAGCTGCCTCACCGGAAGTTGTTTGCAGTCAGCAGTCTGCAATTGCGATCAGTGTTATCGCGATCTATCTTTTTTTCTCCACTCAGGTTGGCAGTGATTTCCTTCTCACAAACTCTTGTATCTATTTTATTTTTCTGTTTCGTTCACGTTAGAGGCCAATACGGCGGTGCGGAACCGGGGCGATCGCGGGAGGTTGGTTGCTTGAAAAGTAGCTCCCCTGTGATAGATCCGATACATTTCCATTGTCAAATGCTGCCACAATCAACGCACCGGAGGATAATCGTTCAGGCTAATCTTTCGAGACACTTGATTATCGGGCCTTTGCTTTGAGGGGGATGATGGGGACTGAAGCAACCAAAATCACCATCGTTGCAGTAGTTTTGGCTCACTAATTCGAGACCGGTCTTTACACAAGTACCTTTTTGGATTTAGCGAGACAACCTCTGGAACAGGGCTGCCCAAGTTTGGTTCTCGAGAGCAGCTATCCAGCCTGTTTTCGATGTTTCCCTCTGTTGCAGGAGGGGAGACATTGAAAACAGGCTGGATAGAGGCTTCCAAAGACCGGACTTGGACATCCCTGATCTACAGTTTGTGCTGCGGCACAGCGGCGATCAGCTGATAAAGGAGGGGAAAAAGAAGAAAAACTCAGTTCTGCTCTACTTTACAGACCCCACGTTTTCAGAAGTGGTTTTTCTCTTCTCCTTTTCTTGGAGCTTTTCCCAGGCGACCAATCCCCCACCCCGTGCCCTGACATTGTCGCTTATTTCCCTTTGCGCCACTGTAAGAATGTTCAAATGGTGTAGGGGGGGAGGAAAACAAAAAACAAACAAAACAAAAAAAAACGCTCATCTGTCCTCTATTTTGGTCAGCTGCGCTTTAGTGCCCTTGCCAGAAATAGATGCATGGACAAAAAAAAAAAAAAGCGGACAGGCGGATAGTAAAGACAAATGTTGTCATCTGGGAAGAGACTTCAGCTCACCCGTGACCAGAAAAGAAAAAGATAGATGATGGATGAGACGATCGAAGGGTGCAAGGATGGATGGAGAAGACAAGCTCTTATTTATCTTCTTCACCTTTCACAAATTTGTGACAATGGAAACACAAGAAGAACTCAACCAAAGGTTGCCAACAATCGGCACCGACGGCGATTTCCGTCCCTTTCACACATTTGGAAAAAAAAAAGGAAAAGTCGAACCAACTTGGGCTTCATCCTCCCAAGACCAAACACCCAGCGACCGCTCGGCGGTACGTTGCCTCCACATTAATTCCGAAAGACAGGGGGCACCCGAGGGCGGCCGTGTTGTGAGCTTTTCTGCGGTTTGGTTCTAGGCCGCGGCCCAGTGGGCTGCACCAGATAAATCGCGCTCACCCTTCTAAGTCACGCTTTTTGCTCTCTCTCGCTCTCTCTCTTCCTCGCCCTCAATGTCTGCCTCTCTCGCCGCTGTTGCTAGGCTAAGAGGAGCCACTGGGATTACATGCTAAAAATAAGGTGTCCCTGATCCTCTTCTTTTTTTTTCTCTTCTCAGATACATCTCAATCACACTTCTCAGACTTTACCTCACTTTTTTTTTGCCTTTATTTGCAGTTTGCCCCTCTTTTCATTTCCATTGGTGGAGGTACCACAACAACTGATCTGTAATCACCAAATGCTGCTTCATTTGGTTTGGTTCTGGTTCTGAGAAGACACAATTGACCCGTACCGGCCGACTTGAGGGGTCCGGGTGCTTCGTACGGTGCATCTTGCAAGTACTTTGGTCCAAGACCATTTTGAGATTGATAGAGCAGCAGCCAGATTTTAAAATCAATTTGTGAGGACTGGTGTGATGCGGTCCAGTTTCCCGAGTGAATATAAGGACTCTGGCGGCAGCATTTTAAATCGTCTGCAGCTGCTTCATTGATGATGATCATTTTTTCAATATTTAAGTACAGTATTACAGTCCTCTAGCCTACTGAAAATAAAAGCATGGTTTGGTTCATCTTACGTTTCAATTGTAAAAAAAAAAAAATGAAAGGCACCAATTTGTGATAGGAAGCTTGGTACGGTTTATTTCCTTTATATCTTCCCAAATTGTGAAAGGTACTATCATCACTAATTGGTACCTATATTTCTTGAGGCCTTGTGGAGTCGTATCTTATCGTAACTTTTTTTGGGTGGAGGGGGTGGCGGCATCGGTATCGGTCTTGGTATTTCTTTCTCGTCACATGAACACCGATTCATCATGTCGTTGGATTGCCATCCTGCAATTGTCATATTCCTAAAAACAATCCGGTGCTCACCTGCTGAGACAAAGAGGATGCCGGCGCTGAGGATGATGTTGTGGCGCGACTTGTAGAACTCGCTGGCAGCGATGCAGAGCCCCCCCATGAATAGCAGGATGACGCTCATGATGGGGAAGATGCTGGAGGCTCGCACCGCACCTTCAAAAACACAAAAAGCCCAGCAGGTTGTAAGCATCGATCGTTTCGTCGTGAAATCCTCATCGAAAGGACCTTTCGGTTGGAAAAATTTGGGTTAGGTTCTCTCAAAAATGACAAAAAAAGCACCTTACGATGGGAGGTGTCATTGCGTAGCTGGACGAATACAAAACACAAAAAAAATGGGGCTGTTGGGTTTTGTTTTTTTTTTTTTTGGATGAGCCTTACCATCTTTCCAAAGATGTGCAAGGTTGAAAAATGAGTTCTGGTGTAGGCTTGCTCTGTGAAATCCGATTGTAACTCAAACTAGGGCTTGTATTACAACGTAAACAAAAACAAAATACTCGTAACTCCAAAAATCGTTTGGGCAAGCAACCACCATGCCATCGCCATCGTCCTGATGACAGACGACGGCAAAAACACACACGGTATTCATTAATAATGACGCTAGTCATCGGATTTGTTTCATCACATTAATACAAATACTAAATCCGATCCATATGGGGATCTAGTGAAAAGCACCGCCTTCTGAACTACAAGGAAACACGTCACTCAAGTTACATCAAAACGAATAGTTTCAGTCGGAGCAAGTAAAAAGCCACCAAAACACCTCAAACTCAACGATGATTTGGGGGCATTTTGAATGGGCAAAAAAACCTCAACGCACCTTCTTTCCTCCCGCCTTTTTGTCCCCGCAGCGACTGTTTGCTCGGCGAACGGCCGCTTTCACTGATCACATTTTAAGGTGACCTCACACTTGGCGGCGCACCAAACGCACGCACACTCGCCTTCATCCTATTTGTTTTATCCCCATCTCCTCTGCTTTATCGACGTGCTGTCGCGGCAGATTGTCTTCAAGGTGGACAAGGGGCCGCACAACACACACGGTGTACGACACCAAGGGTCTGTACGCTTCAATTAAATTTGTAGCCGCGTCGCGTTTTGACACAATACAATAACATCAAATGCCTTTTTGACACCTCACATTTGGATTCGATTTGAACACGCGCACACTCGGGAGGGTCTTGATCTTGTTAGTTACTTACAGTCCATTTTATAGGACCACTAATGTCGGAGCTGCGAATGGTAAAGCGCTATTTAAAGGGTGGAATTTGCAGTCTTCATTTTTTTAAGATGGTCACGTGCAGTTTTTCCATGATTATTTTTTTAATTTATCATGCCGCGACTAAAACTAACCAGTAACAATCAGAAAAAAAATGTATTTGTCACATATTGAAGAAATCCCCAATTTACAGCAGCAAAAGGCGTGACCGAGGGATGTGTTGATCACCTCTCTTGAGTTTAAATGAATCGTACATTCCCCCAAAAATACATCGAACCGGTGACATTTCATTTTTGGCAACGTAGCTCGCCGCTTGAAGCAGAGACCAAAAAGACTACGTTCAAATCTCGTTGGCGCAGCTTCCAGACTACAAATTGCAAATTCTTGAGAACGTCTCAAAATTAATGAAGCATTTCACCGCAACTTTTTCAGTGCCCTGATTCCACTGTGATACAGTGTGCTTGCTTGAGACCAAACATTTGTTTTAAATGTGATATATATTTTTTTTTTTGTGTGAGCGTGGATGTTTGGACCAAATTTAAAGGCATGGATCTCAACAACAACAATAAAAAGTTAACTCTAAATTAGAAAATAACTTGATTGTTTAAAAATGACACTAAAACGTGTTCATGCAAATTGAGATAATCTTGCGATTTACAATTTAGGAAACCAGTGTATGGGAACATAAAATCATTTGAACAGTAATTTCGATTTTTTTTTTTTTTTTAAATTGAGGAGTGACAATTGAAAACTCGTCTTACATTAGTTAACAAAAACTTTTATCTTCAGGATCACTTAAAGAGGATGAAATTTAGACCAGGTGTGAATTCATATTGCACATCTGAAGTGCAAATTTAGACATGATGCGGATTCAGAACATGAACATTTTTGAGCGTGAATTAAAAGAAGAAAAAAAATCCTTACATTTAAAAGACAAAAAAATGTGCGCGCGCTTCATTTTTCCTTCCGTTCACTTGACGACACAGTGGTCCATTTCTTTTTGTGCTGCGTTCAACGTGAATGTGTTTTGTGTGTACACGAAATTAGAATAACGTACACGTTGCACAACACCTCCCACTCTCGACAGCTTGTCTGTTTCATCCCCTTCGCATATGCTGCATTGTGTGTGCGCGCGTGCGGTCTTGATTTACGCTTTCATTAGCTACGCTGGAGGAGAGCCTTTTAATTGCGGCTGAATTATAGAGGGAGTGGGGGGGCGCCAGGGGAGCTCCCTCTGTGTGTGCTCTTTATACAAAAAACACACACGCACACACACGCATCGATCATCCGCCCACCCACATCCTCGCTTGGTCCTGCCGAAGTGAGGTGTTTCCCATACACACTATGTACTACCTACGCATGCTAACACACACACACAAACACACACACACAAATACACACTGACACACACTCCGTCCACCCACGTGGGAGAGCCCAGCAGCAAAGAGGAACATGTGGTTGTTAAAAATGCGGCAAAACATCGACGAGGGAGATTGCTATTATAGTGTAGCAACGGCTAGCATGTTAGCGCTTGATCAATTCTCATTTGAAATGGCACCTGGCACCGTGCATTTTACTTGCATACTTGTAACGGAGTAAGCCCACTTTCTATACTCGGGTTTCTCTCTGTTGGCATGGCAACTGTTAACATTTCAATAATCCCGATTTCAAACAGTACATACAGGGTGGCATGACGTAAACGTCTTTTGGAGCTGCGGTGGCCATTTTCATACTCAGGTTGCTGCTCGCTTGCTGTATGTTGTGAACTGACAACTCCGCATGTGGTCCGGAATAACGATGAAGGATAACGGAAGAAATTTCTAGACAGAGATGTCCTTGATTTGTCCGGTTTTCTTTTCAGCAACACTGTCTTTGACGCTTTCTTAGAACCAGCGGCTGACTACAGGGCAGGATGTAAAACCTTGTGGGGACCGCCAAAGCCCTTTCTGGTCCTCTGGTTGCTGTGTTGCTCCACGTTAGCAGTTTTAGACCTGCAGTGAGAATTTTAGCCCTTGAGGGCTCAGTCAGTCAGTCGGAAGTGACAGTGACATTATGCAGCGCAGTCACCAATGGAATCCTCCACACAGCAAACATGTAAACACACACGACCAGGCGTGACTGTGTGTGTCACTATGTGTATGTGTGTTCCAGTGGTTTTCAAGCCACATTACTGGTTTAATGGTGATATGCCTCCATGTCCACAAAAATAGCCCGCCGTGACATCAGCCGGACCGATGACGTCATCGCCATCTGATGTCACGACCCCCCCCCCGCCCCTCAAAAGCTCCCCAGCGCCATCGTCGTCGCATTATGTTGCCAGGATCCGTCCGTCTAATTTTAGCAAGCAAGTGCACGTCAGAGCAAAATCGGGCAAACTTTATATCAGAACAATTTTTTTTTCCCCCTGACGTCAGTTTGGACAGATTAGCGTCTAAAATGTGCTTTGAAGGTCAAGATAGGATTTATGTCAGTAAAGTAGACTGATTTGGACTAATGTGAAAGACGTCGCGGATTACCCAACTTAACGGTTCCGAGCAAAAGACCGGAGGAGATATGTACACTCTGTGGGCAAAAGTAATGGGACAGGGCTCCTAAGAAATCACTGTTAAGTCAAGCAAGGTTCATAATCAGCAACCAAAACAAAGCTATCATTTGCGTACAAAAAGGACTCGTGTCAGGCTCATCGAATGAACCCTGCCAAGTTGAAAGGAGCAAGAATGAACGGCAAGCACAATGTCAAAGAGGCTAACATACTGAGCCAACAGTCCCGCGAGAAAAGGGGTAACTAGTTTGAAACTTACACTACTGTGTGTCTGAATGTATTTTTCGGAATTGTGGCAATTGAGAAAACAAAAACCATGCAAATGCCAAATGAAAATTAATCTATTTTTTTTAAATGGAGATATAAACTTTTGAATGCCAATTTTGAAAAATAAAAAAAACAAACAAACTTGTCAGCACACATTTCGACATGAATTCATGTCACAAAACTGATGATTTCGATGAAGTAACACGAATGTAGTCAAAACCTGTGAATGCTTGGATAAGCAAATCAAATATATACAATAAAAACCAAAAATATGAGCAGAAATTTGGACAAACAAAACACAAACATTTTGTGAGCCCGAATGTAGATAACAAAACCTTTTGAATGAATGTTAAGCGAAAATCAAAGACCACGCTGGAAGGCTCTGTTGCGTCGTATTGAAAGGGTAGGGGGTGGTGGTGTATATGGGGGGGG